TCTGAAATTTGGGCAGAGCTCAATGGGGACAGCTTGTCTCTACTCCACTTGGCATCAACTGTGGTGGCTTGAAGGGTGGGGGTTGGAATCATTTGATGGCTCGCTCACATGTTTGGCGCTTAATGGTGGCTGTTGGCTGGGACCTCAGTGGTGCTGTCGGCTGGAACACCTACTCATGGTCTCTCTGTGTGGATTGGGCTTCCTCACAGTATGGCGGCTGGGTTCCAAGGGTCAACATCTCAAGATAAATCCATGTATGTCATACAAGAGGAAGACACATCACCTTTTATGACCTGGCCTTAGAAGTGACAGCCACATCCATTTAGTCAACGTCCCACCTAAATTCAAGGAGAGGAGACAGAGATTTTTACCTCTTGACAGAATATGACAAGGTCATGGAGGAGCATGTAGGCCTGAAGTAACTCTGTAGCTATTTTTAGAATATAAGATTTGCCACGGTTTCTCTATTATGATTGCATTTTCTCTATTTTTCATATTTCTTCCATTCTATTTGTCTCCCTTATATATTTATCCACCCTGTCTTCTTTTGTCCCTTATACCTTCTACCTCAAGATTAAACCGATGTTGAGTTGGCAAACAATAATTTCATGAGGTGATGGAAAAAGACCATAACATAGCCCAAGACTGGTACCTAACTGCTGAAATGAGAGATTATCCAACTATTTAGAATTGATAGAAATGGCAATATAATATGCTTCACTTAAAATTTGCTCTTTGTAGTCAGGGAAAAGGTACCACAGTCTACTGTCAGAAGAGAACGAGTTCCCTCACACCTCGAGCTTCCAATGAGCAGGAAGGCCCTGCAACAAATTTCACCTTTCTCCATCTCTCCTCTCACACCAACCTAAGGATGGTGGGGTGACATCTGGTAAGTCTGAAAGGACTAAATAAGCCAATCTTATCTTGGCATCTCCCTTTTCCACACGGGACCAACATGAAAGAACACATTTGCTTCTGTTCTCAAATCCACTAGCGGGAAAGGGCTACTAGTTTCTGAGATTCCTCTTAGATCCCTACACCATGTTAACCAAACAGTTAAGCTATGAAGGAGTTGTCAATAGGTACTTATCACAACAGAAATAAAGTTATACTCCCAAAGCATCTAGGAGTTACAAGCTGCAATGTCAGGTAGATGCTTCTTTTGCATGACTAATCTCCATTAACTACACTCCTTGCATTCTACACATACTCCAGCTGCTATGGAACATAGACATGTCCTTTCACAAAGTATATACTTCATTTTTTAAGAAGCAGGGCTTAAAATTAATATGGCATATGGACAACTGGAAGATCTTGAATACCTTGGTCAGAACCAACAATGTGATACTTTCGTTTTCATCTTTCCTTAACTACAAACAGGAAATCTCCTCAATTAGATATCTGCTAAGAAGGAAAAAAGAGCCATTATCCAAGGACACAGCAAGTTCTGTCAGGTATTTCGCCATGTTGGAAGAGTAGTCAGGTTTTAATTGGCCCTATTGAGCTCACCCACAAGCTCCAGGAACATTCTTTACCTTAGCAGTGTGGTATTCAAAATGAAAAAAAAAAAAAACTACAAAGTTAGTTTCTACCTTTGAAAACATCAAATGAATCATGTCCAGTTTCATCCTGTTAACTAAATGCACATTGATAAAAGTGAACACATCAACACTAGTAAATTCCATGTTGAAAAATAAAATAACTTCTAGAAAATGTCTCACCCCAGACAATGTTTATTTAGCTAGCTAAAATAACAAACCGGGTTCTATGTTTTTCTAGTATTTTCCTTCTTTTCTGATCTACTGTATTAGAAACCACTTTCTCTAGACACTTCGAGATCACAGACTTACCAAATTCATAACTAGGTTATAATAAAGACATTCTCCAATCCAAATTTTTACGTGTTTTGAGTTGGACACACTACTAGGTGTATGTTAAAAACTGCTAGGCAAAGGAACTTCAAGAAGAGAAAGAAAAAAAAGTCACAGAAATAATAAAATAATAATGACAAAAGAAAGAAAAATAAAAAGTAAGAAAACATATGGGGAAGGTACAAAAAATGTTCCTCTTAAAAATAGAGAATGCCAAAACAAGAAGGACTGATGAGATAACTGTGGTTTTAGTGAGCCTCATTTACACAAATGCACAACTATTTGTTTTCTGCTTTAACTTGTCCAAGACTTTTGACACTAAAATGAAAACAACTAGCTAAATAAAAAGGAATGGAGGCATCTTTGGGAAAGTGAAGTTTTCATGGTTTAATGGGAGATGTATCCCTTTGAGTCTTGAGTAGTTGCCTGTGCTATGTTTACCACCATCTGAGCTGACAGTTGGGGAAGTTCTGTGTACAGATGTGGTTTTCCTTTGCCATACCCAACATTTCCTTAATTAAACACCATTCCTCAATGGAGCAAGGAGACTCCTGAGGAATGTGGGAAATAGGAGTCCTCATTTGTTGAAACAGAAGGAGACCTTAAAGCTTGAGCTGCTTTCGCCTCTTACTTCCTTTCTCTTCTGGCTTTATACCCTTTGTCCTAAAAGCCAGAGAAGCAAAGACAGGAGAACAATGGGACCTCTAGCCTACAGTGGACCTCCTTATCTTGTTTTTCAAGTTCCATATTATGCTGGGAAGGATCTTGCAGGCAAAATTATGGGAAGTCCAGTCCACAACTCCCCAACCAGGCTTCAAGGCCCAGGTTACACAGAGAAAACCCAAGGTAGGTGCCTATGAAGTTCCTGGAATGGGCTTAGGGCCGTTTGCACAGGGAAGCCTGGGAGTCCATGTACCTGGAATATAGTCTAGAACGGAATGCTCTGGGCATTCCGTTGACTCTGAGGACTCCTTGCTCCATGGAGAGTGGCAGGGCCTTAGGGCAGGCAGAGTAAGGGCCTTGTGCAGTGGGGGAAGGGTGGGGGGAGCTGAAGCAATGGTTGTATGAGTCAAGGATGATACTGAGCTGCAGTGTGAGGTCCTACTGTAGAAGATTCTAGTCAAACGTAAATATGGGGAGGGTAGTCAATTCCAATCTGAGCTGTTCCTTCTGCCCATGGTCATAAACTGCCATGCAGATGGGCACTGTGGGCAGCTGTGTTCTCCCAGAGCTCTTTGTGGTAGTACACAATGTACTTAACTTTTCGAAGACCTTCCAAAAAGATGAAATCTTATTAATTTACCTCAGAAATGAAGCAAAATCATCAATAGCTTGAGAAGTTTTAACTGATGAATCTTATTGGGGAGCCATCCTGGTTTTGTTTAAAAACTGACCTTGAGTGTACATGGCATAGTACTAACTGAGCCTGGGGAAACTCACTTTAAAAAAAAAAAATCTAGTGCTCTTTAACAGCAAGCCAGGTCAGAATCACTTTGTATATAAAGTATGTGCACCAGACACAGTGGCCCGCTACTTCAGAGGTGGAGATAGAAGGTACGAAACTCAAGGCCAGCTGAGCAAAAAGTTAACCAAGACCCTATCTGGAAAAACCTGTAATTCCAGCTTATGAGAAAGGTGTAGGTAGGAGGCAGCCAGAACAAAAAGCACAGGACCTAATCTGAAAAATAACTAAAAGTAAAAAAGGGCTGGCATAACTCAAGTAGTAGAGTGTTTGCCTAGCAATCTCTGGGGGAGTTCAAAATCCCAGTACTAAAAAAAAGTACCACCAGCAAAGATGCTTATATGAAGCAGTTTTCAAAAAGAAAGTTAGCAATTGATGCCTCGCTATTTAGTAATTTTGCTAGCTACATCTACTTTTCAGTATCCTGTAACCCCCCAGAATTTTCTCAAAACACCTTGCCATTAACATCTCAAAAAGTTCTTGACATCGCTTCCCCAAAATGACTTTTTGGTTTTAATTCAGGTTCTCCTTCATGACCCAAAAAAATTGAAATGTTTTTTCTTAACCTGGACGTATTGCCCAAAGCCTCATATTTTCATGGAGGAAAGGAGGCAGAGGAGGAAGTGGAGATGTGAACCAATGTGTAAACTAAGAGAGAAACTTCAGTAGTGGCTAAGGAATCTTCTAAATGTCAAACGTTCATCTGATTTCTCACCGAAACTCCATGAAAGAAGCGTGTTAATTACTAGGTCAGTTTTCAAATGTGGCAACAGGCTAGGAGAGTTAAATACACACAATAAGTAACAGGATTTATATGCACGATTTTCTGACTCCCAAGTCTGCACTTCTTTCTGCCATGTGGCGCCTGTAGTTTCCTTTCTTTGAATTTCTTGCTTGCACTTTGGTATTTTAAAGGGAACACAAGAGGCCATATACTTGGTGCTACGCAGTTTATCTTTATATATGAACAAGTCACTTTCTCTGACAACTGGCAGGAGCCCCAGTTCTGAGACTTTCCCATTTTTTTTTCACTGCTGCTAACAGCTATAATAGACTCAAGCTGCTTCTGCCTGCACCACACAATATACATCCTTTGCTTTTTTTTTTGTAAACTGCAAAGTTATGTATATTTTAAATTCAAATCCTATGAATTTAGAGAATGTCTCATGACTTCAAGATTGAAAACTGAAGTTGATCAGACATTCATCCCCCAACACAATGAAATCAAGAAAATACAACACAGCACCCTAAAGGGCATCTGAAAAGCATTCCTTAGGGACTTAAAGTCCCTAGGGGTCGCTGAAAGACTGCTCAACAGAGCTTAGCACTTAGTTGGGAACAATTCAAAAGGCGCCTTGCTCATGTTATCATACCCAAATATCTCCAAAGACCAGCATAAAGGACTTGTCAATGAAGACCTGCTAGGCATGCGCACTAGTACCAGCTGGAGTTTGTTGTCAATTTTCACTTTTCAGTAGTCAAGCGAAATTTGTTTTTAGGGTAAGTTTTTATGCTCCAAAATACGTCAGCTAGATACTTGCAGATGAAGACCCACCACCTTGGAAGTAGAGAGAAAATAGTTTACTTTTCTAAAGTAAACCAATTCATTTTTATTTAGCGATGAAGCCACTCACCGGCGAATTAAAGAGCAACAAACTCTTGTCCAGTTTAGTTAACACATTTGCTTTTTTTATTTTTTAGAATATAGTCTACATCTGGATTAAAAAAAAAGTTTTAAATAAATTTAAGACATATAACAGTGGAGCCCTTCATCATTCTATGTACGACACGGATAGAATGTCAGTTGGCTCCACTTCGAATACATCCACTTTCACGTAATAATGTTACTATTTTCACTGGCTGAGTGGCAAGCTTCGTACAAGCAGGCGCACTGCCAGCTACACACACTGGGGTGGGGGCGGGGTGGCGTGAAAGGGATGGGGTAGGCTGCCACAGGACTACTGTACAATGTAACAGAAAATCATTAACAAAGTAGTACCGGTTACCAACAGTGCTGTTTGTGCGTTTATCACAATGGAATAGCCGAAGTTTCAGAGCAAGGAGATTTGAAATACTTAAGACAGGGCCACTGTTACAAAAAGAAATAGTGCAAACAGGAAAACTGATGCAATCCTAGCAACGCCAGGGCCTCCACCAGCTCAATGGCAGGGCGGGCTGGAGGCTGCGCGCCCCGCCTTCCCCAACACCCAGCTCCGGGCTGAGCTCTCAAGTGTGGCAGCCCAGCGCCGCGCCCTGGCATGGCCCCTTCTCAGGCCCTTTTCTTTCGGAAAGAAGAACAGAAAAGAAACCCCAGGAAAGGCACAGGCTGAATGCGGGCGTCGGCCCAGTCCCATTCCCACCAACGCAGAATGCAGGCCCCTCCAAGGGAGGTCCTCGATGCACCCCCCCTCCTCCCGCCATCACTTTCTTCTGCTCTCACGAATGAGGCCCTCCCCTCCACACAGCCCCACCGAGCCCCCTGCACGTACACAGCCCAACTTTGCAGTCTGCCCTTCGCATCCCACAACCAGGAAGAAAACAGCTTTGAGGAAAAAGAGAGGGTGAGAGATGGGGCCCGAGAGGGTGCTGGATAGCCGCGGGCGGCCCCTGCCTCAATGGCCCCAATTGCCGAAGCCGATCTCCTGCTTGTATCTGTTGGTGAGAATGTTGGCTTTGCGGGTAAGTTTGGAGAGCACGGTGTGCAGCCCGCGCAGGTGGTAGTGGAACTGCTGCTCCAGGTCTTCCTCGCCGGCGTCCGCGCTCTCCAGGTGGCTCAGGTCCACCAGGATGTCCTTGGACTTCCAGGCGCTGCTCTCCTCGCTCCCTGCCGACGGGGGAGGCGGCTGGTGCAGGACTCCCCACTCGATGTCGTTGCGGATGGACTTGAGCAGCATGTAGTGGCTGTACATGTCCCGGGAGGGCGCGAAAAAGCTGCCGTTGGCGCTGCCAGGGCTGGGGGCCGGGGTCGTGCGCTCCTCCAGGCAGCTGCCACTGCCGCCTACCTCCAAGCCGACGTCGTTATCTAGCCCGGGTTCCGCCAGGGGCACGTCGCGCAGCAGGCTGGGCACCATCACTGTCTGGTCCATGTTGTTCACCGCGCCGATGAAGCGATTCATGGCATTAAAGAGCGAGTGCTTTTGGTTATAGGTGTCGCAGATCTGCATCATGGTGGCCGCGCGGGCGCCGAAGCGCAGACAGGGGCACAGGGATGATCGGCCGGGGCGAGAGGATGCCCGCCTTCACGCGCTTTCCAAGGCCCGCGTCCGGGCCTGGCGACAGCTGGCAAGGCGGGATTCCCGGTTCCTACTCCGCCCTCTCCAACTCTCGTCTCGCTTAGCAGCCGGGCCCTGCGGGATGCGCGGCTTCTCCTAGTCTTGGCGTCCGGAAGCTCGCGATGGCGGTGGGTGGTTTGCTGGGTCGAGACTTGGCCTGGTTGGGAGAGCGGAAGAAAAAAACAGATTATTCACCCGATTAGTGCGCCAGGCGCCGGGGTCCCCGCACTCCTCCCACTCTGGTTACTGCTAGCCCCGGACGGCACGGAGATGGCTCCCCGACACCAGGCGTCTCACATCCTCCAATGCCAGCCGAGGGCCTCGAAAAAAGGAAGGGGTCTCTCCCCACCCTCATCCCGACTCCCCAGTTTCTCCCTCTGAAAAGCGCTGGCTGGGGCAGCGACAGGGCGGGGGCACCCACCTCCTCTTACGCCTCCTTGGTTGCTCAGTGTTCTCCCGGCCGGCGGATGCTGCCCAAGGGCGCTGCTGCGGTTAATGGCCAGAGTGTGACTGCGGGCGTTGTTGACTGAGTCGGCCCCCTACCCATCCCAGGTGCTCAATTTATAGTCCAGGAAAGGTGTCGCCGGCGCCCGGGACCACCCCCGGTGTCTCCTCCTCCTGCCTCCCCCAGCAGCGCGGAGATAAAAGGCCCCAGCCCAATGACCGCGAGTAACACTCGCCCGGCCCTTTCTACAGCGGGGGGCGGGGCGCGCCGGGCCAGCTCCGCCTCTCGCCTGATACCCGGGCGGGAGGACTCCGGGCAGGGCAGGGCAGGGCAGGGCAGGGCAAGGCAGGGCAGGGAGGGAGGGATGGAGCAGCCGCGCTCCTCCAGCGCCGAACCCTGGGCTAGCCGGCTGGGGGCGGGCCAGGCACTGCGCGGGTGTAGGCACAACGATCTGGACCAGAATGTCCATGGCCAGGTTGCAAAGTGGGCCCCTCAACCCCGAATGTAGAATGGCCGCAATCGGGAAACTGAAGCCTGAGTTTATTATTAGACGTCGGGGAAGAGGGACCGGCAGCTGCCCCAACTCCATCTCGGGATTCTTATGTAAGAAGAGTGGCTGGACATGCCGGGTGCACGTGGACGCGCAGTGCTCCCACCATGGTCCTGGCTGTGGTCAGCAGCTGGGGGAGGGGGCTCAGAGGCTTTGGCCTCCCTGATAGGGTCTTTCTCAATCTTTCCTACACAGCTGCTGCTAGGTGTGAAGAGCAACCTACCATCCGATCTGCTTTTTTTTTTTTTCCCAAGAGTTCAGGACATGGCAATCGAGTGCCCAGCTGGGCTTTGTGGCCTTTTGGTTGCCAAAAAGCTAGGGACAGGATGACGGAAGTTAGACCAGGTGCTGGGTATCTTTCATCATTTATCAGAAAAACGGGGATGTATCCAGTCTTTTTTTGGAGAGAGGAGTGTTCATTTCAAAAGATAGTTCTTAAACACAGTATTACTTAATAGGGCCTAAACTATGTACAATTTTCTGGAGGAAACGTTTAAGAGCCTTGCACTTTAAATTTTACGTTGGAACTTCCAAACCACAACTTGCTTTCCTTTTCCCATCTCATTTCCCTTGCAGTCTTCTCGGACAGTCCTACAGATAATTACGACTCAAGCTTCTAATTTTAAATCCCTTTTCTCTAATTTTTTTTGGGGGGGTCATGAGTACAGTATTTTTCTGCAGGACAAAAAGTGCCAAAAGCAAGAAGCACATGATGTAGGAATTTCTTTCCCTCCCTGTATTTCGCTTTAAGGACTTACACTTAAATCAGCTACGTTTGCATACTTTTCACCACAAACCATCTTCCTTGAATGAAAAGTTGACTTGGTGTCACAAAGGCTGACAACTGAAGTCGGTGGTAACCCCTGGAGCCCAGTCTGGAGGAGCCTTCCTGCTCCTCTCAACTTAGCTCTAGATCACAGCCCATGTTTCCTTTTCTGTAAAACAGGGATAATGTTACCTGTTCCACAGATTTTGGGAAACCAATGGAAAAAAGAAAGTGGAGGGAAAAAGCATTATGCAAATTCGCAGTATTAAAATATTCCCACCCTTTTTTGTACACAGATTTAGAAACTTTTCAACTCTATTTCTTCATCAACAAAATGGAACTTCTCTTTGGCTGTGCCAAAGATTTTAGTTAAGGTTAAATAAGATAATGGAGGTAAAAATCATTGTATAAATTGTAAGCTACAAAGATTAATTGTACTCAAGTACAGACCCTCATCCTAGTCTAGAGATGTTTTATGTGGGAGTCTGAACCTTTAAACGTGGAAATGGGGGCTGGGGACGTGGGTCAAGTGATAGAGCACTTGCCTAGCAAGCACTAGGTCCTGAGTTCAAATCTCAGCACAAAAAAAAAGTGGAAATGGACTATGGTGAGCTACACACCCTTCCTCTAGTGCTTAGGCAGCAGGACAGTATATAAGCAGGTCTTAAAACTTTTATGCCCAACGAGAGTGAAACAAGAAATTTCGAGAAAAGGATAGCCAGTTTCCAGCAGCTGATCTTCTCATAAACGTAAAACATACTTCGTCCCCGACCCTAGATCTTTATATTTCAAGTATAGTATGCATTCGGATGAAAACTCAGTATTGCTTTGAGTTATTAAATGCTGGAATCCTGCTCCTTCTCTTCTACCCAGTTCCAACAGTGTGATTAATAACTCACGGAAAATGGAAATTCAAGCGATCTAGCAAAGGAATCCCACCCTGACAAAAAAAGCTCGGCTTAAGAGAAAGCCCCTAAACTCCTTCCATTTAGCCTCCATCCCTCCCCCTGATGCCTGCCTTCCTTCTTCTGTCAGGTCTGGATCTCCCAGTTTCTTGACTCCAGGCTGCTGTTCGTACATATTTCTTAAACCCTATTAGAGAAGGCTGGCTCATGCACCTGCCTGCAGAACTTCCCGAACCGGCCTCCCAGCTCCCCCCGGCCCACACAATAACTCACACCCACCGGGGTAACTCCGGAACGAAAAGATCCGCTGGCCAGAGCTCCGGGCCCTTGGAATCACCCCACTGCCACCCCTCTGGCTTCGGCCAATCAGAAGCCGTCAGAGAATGTTATGCAAATGAGTCTTTACGCCCCAGCCAGTCAGAAGCCACGGACCCCCTCCCCCCAGCGTCCTCTTTTACCCCAGCCTGGCCAAGCTGATGGCCGCGTCCCAGGCAACCGGCTTGCAGCCAGTTTTTCCCCCACTCAAAGCTGTAAAAAAATTAAAACGGCCCCCTGGGGTCACATGGGAACAGAATGGGCTGGGCTAGGCCCGACCAGAGGTGGGCAGCCTTTATGGTCGCCCCAGGCACTTTCGCTTTAGCGATCTGAAACAGACTGGAGTGCCTGAGCAACCTGCCCAGGACTCATTTTGTCTACAGAAAGTAGGGGACGTTATCGGTTGAACGAGGAACTTTTGAGTACAGGCTCAAGGCAAGGGAACTTTGGTCTCTACTTTCAAACTAATATACCATATCCTTATTAAAAGCCTGGTCTGAGGTTTTGCACCTGCTCGGCTTCTTGATCCTTAGCTCCAACTCCGGAATTCTTAAATTCTGGATCTTATTCTCACTTTATCTTCTTACTTCAGCACCAGGAAGTCGTGTTTGACTGACGCACTTCCCCTCAAATGTTCACGAATTACCGTTGCTGTGCCTCTTAGATAGTTTTGGGGGAAAGATGGCATTTCATTTACTTGTTTATTTTTATTTATTTTTTGGAGACAAGGGCTTGCTATGTAGCCCAGACAGGCCTTGAACTTGCAATCTTCCTTTCTCACCGTCCAGAGTGCTGGGATTACAGTACCCAGGTGGGTCCTACCACACCTGGTAAAAGATGACATTTTAAAAGGTGACCAGAAATCCTGAAACAAGGTAGGGAGCCAGAGTAAACTGGTGGGAGAAGGCAGATTACAGAAATAAGAGATCTGGCTCAGAGCTGGAGAGAAGGTGGTATTTTAAGGCTAGAGATCCACCCAACCCAAGATAGTGGAGATCCTAGATTATGTTGATACAGAATTGAGAAGGAACAACTTCATGAAAAGTGTCCTGGAAAGATGACAACCAGACTTTCCTGTTAAGAGCCATGTACTCCAACCATCCACCTGTACAGAAATGGCTCACAACATCTCCACCAAGTGGTCCCATTGGCCCACATTCTTTTATTTTCCATCCTCTAGTATCAGTTCTATGGGTTTGGAGCTCTCCAGAAGGCCATGGAATGTTTGAAGGTAGCTATGGCCCCCCTTTAATCCACTGTCCTTCAGGTCAGTTCGTGTAGCAAGTTTTTATGTTGTCGGTTTAGTGGCTCGTCCCTTCTGGTCACTGCCTTTGGAAGTACATCCAGCTTGCTTGCAAGTGTAACAACTAGAACTCTTGCCAAGTATCATCTTTCCTGAGACAAAATGGAGTGGCACAGCCACCTATTTCATTGTCAGTGGTAACTTTTCTAAGTCATATTTATTGAGCACAGTGCTTGGAACTTAGACATAGGTAACACATTTTAACTTTACAATAACCCTGAGAAGAAAATAAGCATCAAAGAATTTAAGTGCCAAAGTAGTAGAACTGGATCTTGACCTAATTTTCTGGTGCCAGATTCAATGTTCTTTCTATTACCCAACAAATATTTACTTCTTACGAAGCTGCCTAATATTTAATGGACTGGTTTTAATATGCTGCTATCCATGCAACAAAATTTCGTGTATTATTCTTACTGAGCAGTAGAGATCTTTTTGAACCAAAATACAGAGCATTGTATTACCACACTAAATTTTATCTCATTAGATTCGACTTATTACTCCAGCCTGTTTTAGTATTCTGGGTTCTGGCTCTGTGCTCTTGGATATTACCCATATATCGATAGCTATTTATGTATTCATCCAAGTTACTGATAATGGATACCAGGCAGCACTGGGCAAAGGACAAAGTGCTATTGAACATCTGGAGAGCTCCTTCAGCTTGATACCAGTCCATGAATTAGCACCTTCTGCTGGATGTTGTTTCAGCCAGCTATGAATTATATTAATTGTGCAGTCATCCAGCCTGTAGTTTTCATCTTGACCACAGAATATTATGAGAGACCATACCAAATGCCTTACTGATGTCTCAAGTTAATGGCCAGTTTTCTTCCTATGGAGTCAAGAAGGAGGCCAGATGTCACAGAGAAACCACTGTCACATGATACAAAAAAGCAGAAATAGCATCATAATATTCTGAGGACAGGGAAAGTTGGCAATTCTAAAAAATACTTTTTGTTACATTCTCAGCATTGCTATTTCTTTGAGAACTCTGAAGTACATAGAAAATGATATGTTCCATTTGAGTATGTCAGAGAAGGGGCAAGATTCATTATGGTAAGATTCTTACCATATTGGTACTTTTAAATTTCATTAACTCTTACTTTGATTATTTTATGATTTCTTAGAATGCCAAGACCTTCTTGTATACCAGCCCAGTGAAACAATGTGAATGGTCCTCTTTCACTGTGTCCTGTGTAAGCATGTCAATTTGGTTAACTTCTGAAATTAAATTCATAATTTGTAAAATGAAAATTGAATTAACATAGGGAGAAAAGATATAAATAACCAATGTCATAACCCATATACATATATACATATAGATGTAAACATACATCTATTTGGATATACTTACATAAAAATATATGTATTTTGTTGAGGCTACAATGTCATAAACACAATGGCATCCAATGGACAGGTTCAATTGTCCCATGTCCAAGTCTTTTATGTCTTTTATAACTTACTCCTTTAACTCTAATCATAAAAGAAACTAGACCTGAGCGTTGGAGTCAAGGAGAATTCACATACATTCTATTAGATCATATGAATGTAGCACATGGGTTAATCACATAATCATGAGCAAGAAGAAAAGAATTGTATGG